TTAGTCACAAGGAAACGGAATGCGGGGAGAACGCGAGCCCGGTGGCCTGTCCTGGTAGCGCGGTGGCTGCAGCGTGAGCTGCGCGGGTGGGCGGGTTTTCTCTCGACAATATTCTTTCAAGTGTTACCAGTTAGCTCTCTGTGTAAAACTCTTTTGCAATAAGAACTTTCCATTTTAACACCTTTTATAGACTAAGGCTTTGGTTTATTAAGCCAGTCTTTTTAAATTGTAGTTTTCCAAATTTTGGTATCCTTCGGGCCATGAAAAATCTGTGACTCAGGAACAGATTTCCCGCCCGGCCCATGTGGCTCAGTGGTTGAGCGAGGACCCATGAACCAGGAGGTCAGGGTTCAATTCCTGGTCAGGGCACAGCCCGGGTTGCGGGCTCGATCCCCAGTGTGGGGCCTGCAGGAGGCAGCCGATCAGTGATTCTCTCTCATTGATGTCTCTCTGTCTCTCCCCCCAACTCTCTGAAATCAATAAAAATGTATTTAAAAAGAACATTTCCTTCCATGAGAACGTGTTTCTGTCTGTTGGAGGGGCGGCTCAGGAAGCAGCGGGCGGGTCGCAGGAAGCAGGGCGGAGCCACACGGAGCCTCAAGGGGCGGCTGCCACCCTCCCAGCAGCTGTGCCTGGGTTGCTGTTTTCGTTGGGGGCGGGAGGGGGGTGACTCTGCACGCCGGGGCCCACGGGGCGTCTCTCCCTTGGGAAGTCCTTCTCTAGATCCCGCTCCCCGCTCCCTGCTCCCAGGACACCTGCCCCCGGTCCGCAGGCCGGGCCAGAGCAGCAGAGGAGGCCAGTGAGGGAGCAGCCCCCCAGAGTCCTTTCCTGGGCCGACAGGTGCTGCCTTGGGCTCTCGGGGTGTTTGAGAGTCTCCTTTGTTCAGAAGTTTTTGGGGTTTTTTTTTAATGTTAATTAATAGACTTTGTTTTGGGTGCAGTTTTAGGTTCACAGCAAATCTGAGCGGAAAGCAGAATTCCCAGGCACCCCAGGCCCTCCACGCAGCCTCCCATCAGCACCCAGCAGCGCGCACTCGTCACACGACGCCCCCGACACGTCATCACCACCCAGAGCCCGGGCCCATCGGGGCTCCTCCCCCGTGATGCAGGTTCTGTGGGCCGGAGAAACACCCATCACCACGGCCTCATTCCAGAAGCGTCGGCCAAAGCGTCAGCCTTAGAGCCCAAGGTGCTGCCGGCCGGGGCTCCTCGACCCAGGAGCCAGGAGGTCACGGTTTGCTCCCGGTCAGGGCACAGCCCGGGTTTGAGCTCGACCCCCAGGGCAGGGCGAGCAGGAGGCAGCTGGTCCAGGGTTCTCTCATTGATGTTTGTCCCTCCCTCTCCCTTCCTCTCTGACATCATTAAAGAAATACGTTTAAGAAAAGAATCTGAACGGCTCTTCTTGTGACGCCACTGCATTCGCAGGGCTCCCCGCCCTCGCTCTCTGTGGTCCTTGGCAGGCAGGACACTGAGGCCGTCGCTTCTAAAGGTCCTGATACAGCAGCCGCCCGGGCTCCGTTTTTCATTGGAATGCAAGGAAGACTGAGTTTTCTTATGATTAGAATGCATGTTCAGTAGGATCATGGAAGGATCTCTATGGTAGAATTTAATATATTTTCTAGCCAGAACTTTTAAGTTTGAATAGTGCAATTATATTCAGCTACTTTGAAGTGTTAAAAAAATCATCTAATCCAAAAGTTAAGATAGAAAATGTTTGCCGAAACCGGTTTGGCTCAGTGGATAGAGCGTTGGCCTGCGGACTGAGGGGGGCAGAGGGCGATACGCCACGTGGAGGGGAGACGCCACGTGGAGGGGGAGATGCTGTGGGGAAGGAGGGGGCCCTCAGCTCCAGCCTGCCTGTCAAGCACACCACCCAAATGGCGGAGTGGGGTCCCCCAGCCTGCTCCCCAGGGCCCTGGGCAGTCCTACCCACTGACCGCCCTGCGGCCACAGTGGAGCCTACCTGCCCAACTGCACAAGCCACCTGACTCCGCGTCTGCCTCACCTGTCACACATCACAGGAGCCTGGAACCTGGGCCGGC